GGCCAGAAGGCAGGGGTGGGTGGAAGGGCCTTTAGAGCCAGAGGCTGGCTTGGATCCCAGCTCTGCCCTTTGTCAGCTCTATGATCCAAAAGCCACTTATTAATTGTTCCATGTGTTCACGTGTAAATTGCGACAAACTCTTTCAGGGGGTTGTGAAGAGGGTTAGATGAGATGTACAGCAGCACATACACAGAGTAGATGCTGAACAGGTGTCATGTCTGGGGCAGCGAGCTGAGGGCCACCTAGCTAGCTGGATTCCCAGTTGAGATGACAGGGACAGGCTGGGGCCAGAAAGGCTGGGGGAGCATCCTCAGACTCAGCCTGGAGCTGAGAAGGGGAGAGCCCAGTAAAGCACACACCCTCCTCCAGGCATCCTCAGCTCCCCTGGGGCTGCCCACCGAGGCCAGGCCCAGACTAACCAGAGTGGCCGTCCTCCTGCTGGAGGCTGCAAAGCCCCAGCCTTTCCTGCCCTCAGCCCCCGACAAGGAGAAAGCAGACACCAAGGCATCTTCCAGTGCACTTTAATCAAAATTCCACCATCAGAAGAGTTCTGGTAGCACACAGTGTTAGGATGGGCATGTCGGCTTGGTCCCACAAATGGAATTTCCACAGGTTTGCACTTCAAACATGTACGAAAAATAAAATATATAATATTTAGCTTTATAAATTTCCCCACTTAATCACTTTATCTTCAAAATAAATTACTTCCTCTGTCCAATAAATTAAGCAGCCTGGAGTCACTAAGCAGAATGGCACCCGTTTCCAGTGAAAGTTCTGGGGGAAATACTTGGGACGGTCAAATGCTTACAGGAATCAACATGAATTAAAACTAGCACGTTCCTCATGGGGGGCGGGGGGATGAGACATCAAAGCTGGGAAGCTGCTATTGGCTGCTCTTCTGTTGGGGGAGAAAAATCAATCTCCCAAACCACACCGAATGGTTGTAAAAGCTGCCACTGAACGTTTGGCACCAGTGGAGAAAAGACACCTTTCAAAGCCATACCCAGCCACGATTCCACCGAAGCATCGGTCAGAGGGAGAGGTGACAGAGAGGGAGGGGCAGCCACCGTGGCCCTTCTCCGCTCCCAGTTCCTGTTCCCAGCCCCCTCTCTGGAGCCACAGACACCCCTTCACCTTGGAGAAGGCAGGGCATTGTCTGGCAGCATGTCTTCCTCCTTAAAATCAAGAGGTCCATGGACAGAAAGACTCACAGCGTAGAGAACACCAAGAGAAAGGCCGTCCTAGGTAGGGAGCGGGTTGCTGCGTGCTCAGTTCACAGCAGGGTGCACTCAACAAACAAGGGACACGGCCACTCCAGCAGGATGAATGCACAGCCTTTGAAGGGGACAGACAGCGCACACGAGACACCAAGGATCAGAGACGGCAGGCAGGGCTCGGGTGCGCTAGCATTTACAGGGTATCTGAACAGGGCCTCAAGGACAACAATCCCCCATAGCAGGTCAGAAATCTGCCCACCTGCAGTTCAGGGCTTCTTCTCCCCCCAAACCAAAAAATCTTGGTTAGGAACAAATAAGCTGGTGACCGAAGCTGCCACAGAACCTCAGTCTTAGAGATGTCCTGGGAATGGGCTTTGGGGGCCCCAGCCCACTGTGGCAGGAGCTTTATACACAGTTCCACTGGGGGAGCAAGGGGAATGGCCCGATCCCCCCCCATGACCCCAGAGAGAGGAGAAGGCGGCTACAAGTCAAGGAGACGCTCCTCACAGGTCTCCACTGGCCACTTCGAAGCCCCTCCAAACACATCGACGTTGTTGTCCACCCAGGGGATGACGTTGCCCGGCATGTTTGTGGAGCAGTTGGCGATGTTGATGATTTCTTGTGCACGGAGGACGCGGTCCCAGATGTTGAACTGGCTGAGCTCCCCGACAAAGGCCTGTGTGGCATCAAACCTGCCCCCAACCGTGTCCTGGGAAAGGGGAACAGACTGCATCAGGACAGGCTCGAAAGCAAACGTGGCTGCTACCTCTCCCAGTGCGTGATGGGCTTCTAGGGGAAGGATGCCAGCTTGGGCAGGAGATGGGGCCTGGGGCATTTTCCTGACTCGGACCACATGTCCTGACCACGGATTCCTGGCGGTTCCAAAGCATGCCAGGCCTGGGAGATGGCTTGACTCAAAACACCCCACTTCACGCAGGGGAAACTGAGCAGGGAGATACTTGCCCAAAGCCCCAGAGCTAGGATGAGACCAGGTCTCCCAGCTCCCAGCCCCTCCTGGGGAGAAGTACCAGGGAAGTGACGGAGGAGGGGGCTGAGGGCCCAGACTCCAGGCCCCCAGAGGACCTGGCGTCTACTCCCTCGCCTTCCAGCAGTAAATCTCAAACACAGATTGAAATGAGGACTCTTATCTGCCTGAAGGCAGACAGCCGACTGAGACTTCCTCCCCCTTGACGGCCAGTTCTCTGAGGGCAGCCTCTGAGGTCTTGCTTCCCATCTCCCTGACAGGTGTTGCTCTCCAAGAGCCCTCGCTGGGGAATTAGGGTCTTGACCCAGAGCCGACAGCTGCTGGAAGATGCCAATGCCAGCCAGCGGCCGGCATCCTGAGTCAATACTGGCAGAGGCCAAACAGCCGGAGAGATGACCCAGGGTTGCTACATGATCTTGTGACTCCAGGGACACTCCTGCTCACTTGTGTTGGATGGACTCTGTTCTGGGATCTGTCTGAACCCACCACACCGGCCTGGTCCCTGCCAGGAAGAGCAGGACATGCTCACACCCTGCCGTCAGCCCCTCAGGCCACAGGGCAGCACGGGCGGAGCAGCAGGGTCCGGCAGGCAGGCTCCGGCCCTGTACTACCCGCTGGGCAGCCATTCCCCCCAGCATCCCTGGGAAGGTGCCCATCTTGTGCCCCGTCTGCACCCACCTGCTCCTGCCCAAGGATCAGCACACCCCCTGGCTTGATGGGGTGCCATGGAGCCAAGTTCTCCCCGGTGCCGAGCTTCTCCCCATCCTGGAAGGCCTCCCACATGCCGTCCCGTGTCGTCCAGGTGACACAGATGTGGTGCCACTTGCCATCACTCACGAACAGGGGCAGCTGTGCGACCTGTGGGAGCAACGGGCAGATGACGGCCCCCTTGGGGTTCCCAGGAGTCTGACCTGCGGGGACCGGAGGCCCTGGGCCCACTGCTGCTCCCATCATGGGGATTCCCTCCTGATCTCCCCTTCTCTGCTCTGTGGGTTACATGCCCACCCTGCCCAGCTCAGAGAGACCCTTGGGCTGGAGACATCATGTGTGTCACAGACTCTGAAGAGGAAAAGGGGCAGCCTGGGTACAAGCCTCTGGCCCCAGGGTGGCCCTGCTTTCAACTGGACACCCTCGGACCCTGACTTGGCTGAGGGTCCAGGATACTGTGCAGACCAGGCAGAACAGCCCTTGCCCCCAACACTGGTCCTGAACACCTCTCGCTGGAGAACCCAAAGGGAAGTCAGGGCTCTACTGGGCCAACTTCTTTGGGAAACAGTCAGGAGAGGCATCTGCAGTCTGCAGGCAAGGCCCCAGCTGCCTCGTGGCACCCAGGGATCTGCATGTGTGCGTGTCCTCCCAAGCAGAGCATGTATGACCATGTGCGAACGTTGGGTGGGATGCACACAGAACGAGAGGGAGGGCCTTTCCGACCCGCACCATCTCTACAGAGCAGCTTGACTCCGAGCATCATGTTGCTACCGCTGGTGTCCTAGCAACCTGGAGCTTCCTCCCAGGAATCGGCTGTTTACATGACATCTAAACCGAGAGGAAAACAGGGCTCTCGGCCCTGCCTCATCCAAGGGCGCTAGTTAGAACAATTAATCCCCAGCTCAGGGACGTGGTCACTCCTGGAAGAAGCCCAGCAGGTGGACTCCACAGCACTTCCCACTTAAATAAACTCTACCAAGGGCGGTTCAGTAAAGACAGACTGAGTTGGGGGCCAGTGCCTGGTGCACACGCCTGGGGTTCCGGCAGCCAGGGGGTTGGTGCAGCCACTCAACACTCAGTTCCAGCAACGAGGATGTGAGAATGCATTCTGGGTAACATGGAGCCTGACTTAAGTTTAAGTGAGGCTGCTGGAGGGTTCCGCAGATGCCAGAGCCAATCTCTTGAGGAGACCACGTCCCGGAATGTCTAAACAAGCCAGTCTGTTAAAAAGGGACATTTGGTCTGGGAAAGGCAGGACTGGGGGAACAGGGAACAGATCAATGGTTGCTGTGGGATGGGACAGGGGCAGGAGGTGACCACAAAGGGGAGTGAGGAAATTTGGGGGGACGATAGAACTGTTTTGTATTTTAGTTGTGGTGGTTACATAACTGTATGTTTGTCAAATCTGGCTGAACTGTACACTAAAAAGTGTAAATTTTACTGTATGTAAATATATTTCAATAATCCCTCGTCCAAAAAAAGAGATGCTCATGAGAAATATCACACACTCACAGAGACAGACGCACACACACACACTCTCCCCTCATTGGTGCAGCGCTGGGGAACACCCCTCCCTAACCGGCCTAAGGGCCAGCGACAGTTCAGATTGGCACACAGAGACCCCAGCTCATTCTGTTTCTTCCGTGGCCTCTGCCTGTTCACTCTGCTGCTTCTTGGCTGGACTCACAGCTTGGATCTCCACAAGCTGCCTGTTCCCTGTTCCTTACCAATCACCTGCCCCCAGTGTAACTGAATCAGGGCAAAACCATCCCCACTACGAGGAGGACAGCCCTGCGGCCAGACATGGGACCCCCTGCAACATCCCAACCTTGGCCGCCACCGGGATGTGGGAGGCGGGAGGTGGGAGATGGGAGGCAGCCTCACCTTGTCATTGATGAGCAGCTCGATGGGGTTGTTGCCCCATTCTATCAGCACGATCTCGTTGGCCTGCCCGGGCACCGCGTAAGAGAAGGGGGTGCCGATGCCCGGCGAGGCGCTGGACCGCAGCCACAGGCAGATGGTGAAGGCATACAGCTCGGGCAGCGTCTTCTTGATCTTGCCATACAGGTAGTTCGTGCGGAGTGGGAGGGACACTTTGAACGCATCAGGCGACTTGAACGCACTGTTGCCTGCCGGGGGGAAAGAGGGGCCGACAGCATGTGAGCCCACCTCTTTCCCCCAGCAACCAGCACGGCCCAGAGTGGCAGCCCTCCTGGACCCTCACCCAAGCAGCGGAGCACAGGATACTGCCCGGACACTGTTCAAGGTGCTGAAACTCCAGTGGGAAACAGGCACATCCTTGCTCTTGGAAGCTTGAGGAAGCGGGTAGGGGCAAGCTGGATTTAATTTTCTGGTTAAATCAAGCCAGAAAACCCTTCTTTGGCCAAGTCCTGTTGACTCAGCTGTTTCCTTGAAATCTCGGCCTCTTCAGCTCAGCTTGGCCAGGGGCTCACCGGACTTGGGCTCGGAGGCAGGAAGTCTCACAGGGACCTAGGCCCTCTATAGACAGTGTCCATGTACTTCCAGCCCTGAAGAATCACCACTGCTGAGGTGAAGGGGTCAGGTGTCTGTGACCTGACACTACAACTTAACTCAGAAGCGCTTTTGGACTAAATCTTGGACATGAACAGCTTTGTTCACGATTTGCCTTCAACCGTCTCCTGCGGTTTGGAACAGTGTGGGGCAGAAGCGACCCTCCCCGCTGAGGTGAACTCACCTGGCCGGAGCCTTGACCCTTCGGGGCCTGCCGGGGCCAATGAGAAGCCCTGGGCTGTCCCCGTGTAAATGGTGCTTCTAAAGCCTTTTGAAAACAACTGGTGCTCTTAAATGAGTCTCAGTCACTTTGAATACAATTTTGATTTAAGCTTGAAATTAACAACAACAAAAATAAACACACAGAAGGCAAGCCTCTGTCTGCTCATCGCTGATCCCAAAGTTTGCAGGGGACCGCTGACTCCATGAGCTGTCACAGCAAAAGCGTCCCTCTTATTTAGGGACCAGATGCTGTCAGGGAAGGAGCCTCAGCACAGTTCCCTCATTCAACAAGAATTTACTAAGCACACAGGAGAGGCCAGATGGTCCCCCTCGCCGTCAAACACAGGCAGGGTCTCCCGGCCTGAAGCCAAATTGCCTATGTCACTAGTAGACTAAATTGGTCCCTTCCTTGCCCTTTCCGGAGAACAGAAGCCAGAATGCATAAACCTTTCTCCATCACCATCCCCCAAACTCACTTTCTGCCACAGTACGTAATACGTGAGAGAAGCTCTTTGGAGCCATGGTTCACACCTACCTAAGGACCTTCTGCAAAGAAGGCAGCAGGGCTCTGCATCACTTTTCCAACGTCCCTGGAACATGCAGCAGCAAAATACTAGACACTGGGCTTCATGTGTAGTATCTACTCCTATCTGCTGACTGTGCAGTCTTGCCCAGTCCATCCTGACCCACTAAGGCTGTGGAGCACCGGCTGAGGGCAGGGCCAGGCCAGAGCAGAGGCTGAGATGGGCCCCACAGGAGGCTGAAGCAGAGCTGAGAGAGAACCAGGAAGCCCCAAGCCCCCAGTTTTGCAGGTTGCACAGTGGAGGCACTGAGGCTCAGAGAAGTGAGGTGACTTAGCCCAGGTCATACAGCCAGCAAATGACAGAGCCGGGAACTGAAGTCCCTCTTTCCACGACATGCAGCTGCTAGTATTTAATCTGCAAATGCCCATGTTTTCACAAGACATGATTATCTAATAGTGAGAGATGGCCTCTCTCCCTGCAGGTGGGCAGGCTTACTGATTTAATAAGGCTCGGTGCTGGGAATGTCATTAGCTTGATGACAACAGATAGGTTTCATCAGAGCTGGGGGAGCCAAGGGGCAAAGGCGAAGCCTCTACCCTGAAAGCAGGTGCCCTCTATTTATATAAAACAGCTTGGAGGTTCAGAGGAAACTTAGTTAAAACCAATTAAGGAATTAAAAGGCCTGGCCAATAAATCAGAGACTGCAGGTGGCAGACAAGCTAAGGATGGGGGCAGCCTGGGGCCAAAGAGAGACAGGTTCTATTACTTCAGCCCTGAGCTGGGCTCTGCCTGCTTTGCCAGCCCAGAGTCTGGGGCCCCCACAGATGAGCAAGTCTCAAAATAAAGAAAAAGAGCACCCTGGGGACCTGGGGACCTGGCCACCAGAGCATTCACATGCAGGACTGGACGCTCACCACTGGGCTGGGAGGAGCCTCTCTCTCAGCGCAGCTGGAGCTCATGTGCCGCTCCAGGGTGCAGCCTCCAGGACTCTGGTCCTTGGGAGTCACCTCTAACCTCAACCCCAGCTCTGCAATCTGTTGGCCACGGGAATGTGGGTATCACTCAGCTCTCTGACTCAGTTCCCAGCTACGACAAAATCCTATCTCACTGGGTTATTGCAGGGGTTACAGAAGATACTGAGTGTGGAGCTCACAGCCCCATGTCTGGCCCAGAACAGGCCCTTAGTGGGCAGGGGATGATGGACTGAAGGCCAGAGTCTCCCAAAGCCCCCCACTTTGCATGTGGTTGAGGTCCGTCTTCTCTGGGCTTAGCAAGATGCTTCTAAGGAACAGGGTGTGTTTTCCATTCCTGGTATATTTGGGGCTGGAGCTGACACAGCCCTTCACGCTTGTCACATAGGACAGATATAAACTCATAACTGCCCAGAAGACAAAACTGTCAGCAAATGATCGCTTTCCGCGAAGGCTCATCCCAGGACTGGGTGGAGCACACAGATGCTAGAGTTCTCATGGTGGGGTCAAAAGGCAGGGGTCAGCAAAAGCTGAGCTGCTGCTCAGTGCCAGGCCCTGGGGGCTCTGTGAGAACAGCCAGCCGGGGCCATGCCCTTGCGGAGTCCAGCTCTAGATGGGACGCAGACCCCCCGTCTGTGCCAGATGAGCCCTGAGGTCTTCCCATAGCACGTACGAGCATGTGTGCAGGAATCAGGCCGGCTGGGCGAGGCCTGACTGTTGCTTCCTGGCTGTGAACAGACAGGCCAAGGATGGGGAGGAGAGTCACAAAGTGGCAGCTCATGTGTGGCCAAAGCCATGATGAAGGACCTCAGAGGAAGCCAAGTGAAACTCACAGTCAGTCTAGAGTCACAGACCAAGATGGGGAGGGTGGGATTACGTGACTGCTGCTGCTCACCAGGTGGTGGCTCACCTCGGGTCCCTCTTCCCCAACGACACATCTGGCTGAGAACCTCGGAACACTCTTCTCGTCTAGGAAACGGGTCCTGCCTCCACGCTGTAACTCAGTGAGCTTCTGTTAACCCACTTCTATTAACCAACCTCCTTGCAGGTACTCGGCCACTGCACCAAGCGAGGTACACAGCCACTAAGGTCTCTGGTAAAACCCTCCCCTCATTCGACAGCCACCCCCTTCAAGTCACAGAATGACTGTGGTGTCCCTGCTCCCTCGGCCTGCAGGTCCCAGGCCCCATGGGGGTGAGGCTGGGCTGGGGAAGGAAAGCCACCCTCCCAGCCCTGACGCCGCCTCCCTCCCGTCCTGTCCTGTGCCACAGGCCTGCGCTGCAGTGCTCTGCCTTTGCGGGAGGCTCTTGAGACCTACTGAACTTCCTGAGATCACCCAGCAGCAGTGGTGAGGCAGAGGACTTTTTTTTTTTAACTCAAGAATCCAAGTGTAATAATAAGGGGAAGGAAGGAAGGAAGAAAAGACTTTTCAGAGGAAGAGAACAGGAAAGGGATGCCGGAGACCTGTGCCTCCTGGGATGCTGCAGTCAAAGCGACTAAGGAAAATGAAAGGGAAACACCATGCCCCTGGGCGAGCCCATCTGGCCCTGCTGAGCCCATGTCTCTGAAAGAGTACCTGGAGATTCTGCTACTGGACACTCACCTACCTGTCCATAAACCCGAATAATGAGAAAATGCCTTTGTCAGGTTAGTGCATCTACAAAGCTTAGAATCCGACACCTTCTACCAGCAGACCTAAAACTTCACACCCAGAGCACCCTGAATGATCTAGGGCCCTTGATCCCTCCCCTTCCTGTCTCCTGTGCGAGACACTCACCCACCAGAGCGTGAGCAGAGAGGAGAAAGATACCCAGGATCTGCTGCAAGGTCTCATTAGAAAGAGACTGAAATGACCACATGGCTGGAGGTCAGGGATTAGGTTGTGTGTCCAAGCTGGTCCTGAGTGGGCTGCTTTTCCACGGACAATGCGAGCGGGGCTGGGGGCGGGATTAATCCCCGAGATGGTTATTGTCAGCCACCTTATTGTTTGCTCAAACAGCCACGAACCATCTCTACCTAGTGCTACAATCACTGCTAACATCGAGGCCTGACTACAAGCGACGAAAACCAGGCCACTCCCAGCAGCATCAGCCCCCTCCATCCCTCCCGAGTCCCTGACAAGTGCCAGCAAGGCCAAGTCAGCTCATCTGTGGGGGAGAAGCCCTAACTCTGTGCACCATGAGATGACTCAGGTTGAGAAAGCAACACGTCGTCAGAGAAGCGAGAGGCAGACAGCAGGGGGGACTGCTGCTCAGGTGGTACGGAGTCAGGCGGTTTTCTGCAGCTGGGGCTGCGGGTTCCGAGGTGACAGAAGAGCAGCCTTGGAGCCCAGCAAACTCGAGAGAAGAACCGCTGCCCAGGGTCAGCAGGAAGGGGTCTGGGGGTGACCACTCCTTGGGGGCCCAAGGGTCCTCTGTCAGTGGGCAAGACAGTTGTGCTGCTGGTCCCTTCCTGCCTGCTCTCCACTGCTCTGACCGGCTCCTCTTACAGACAGTGGGTTGGGGGCGAGATGGACGCCAGCCAGAGGGCGACAGACACACCAGCGCAGCACCCACCTCGCTCCAGCTCGGTCACCCTCTGCAGCAGCGCATTCAGGGCACTCTCGGTCTTCTGCCGGTGAGCCGAGGTCTCGTTGTGGAGCAGGGACTTCTCATCCTCCAGCTCGGCCACCTTGCGCAGCAGCTGCCTCTCCAGCTCCCCCAGCCGCCGCTGGAGCACCTCCCGAAAGTCCCCGGGCAGCGCCGCGGTAGACACGTTCACTCGGAGCTGGTGCTTTTGGCGGGGGGGGCGGGCACAAGAGGGAGAAATATTAAGGCCCATTAAAGAGAAATTGTGCAATGTAGCTCTAATGGCCCTACCACACAGGGAGACGCTTCCAAAATGGGAGTATTAAATCGTGCCAATGGCAGGAAGGAGAGCATTGCACTAATGCTTTTTTTTTTTTTTGGTAGGAGAG